ACTGAGTTCCATTGACTATGTCATATTCATAACTGACTTCAGGCCTGTTTCCAACAATATTAATGAGAATAGCCAGTGACCCAGAGTGCCAACAAGAGCCAGACACTGCTGAGCACTTTACAGCACTCTCTCACTGGGGTCTCTCAGGGGCCATAAGAGGCAGTCACTTCCCCATTTCACAGACAGAGGGGAAAAGTTAACATTTGAGTGTCTGCTAGGTTCCAAGCACTAAACGAAGAGTTTTATAACATTTTTAATTCCTTTAATCCCCAGAACACCCCTAGGAATTAGGTGCAATTACATCTGCATTTATAGATGAGGAAACTGGTGTTCAGGGAGGTTAGGTAACTTGCCTAAGGACATACAGCAGGCAAATCTAAGTTCTGGTCTGTCCACTAGGTTGAACCGCATGATTTGGGCTACTAATACAACATTTTCATAGAATTCAACCTAAGGTTCCCAAAAATGCACTCACTTTCCACTATGTTCTCTCATCAAAGGATTTGTACTGGCTTTTATTATATATATAATGTATATAACACAAGTATGGCAAAATGATAGTAACTGTATTTAGTTGCAGGATATATGGGTAATTCTTACATCATCCTTGTAACTTTTTTTATAAGTTTGAAAATTTCAAACTAAAAGGTCAGAACTGCAGGTGGGGTGGGGGTGGAATTATAAAGAAACTCCTGAGAAAAGCTTTTGTAAAAAATTATTTGTTTTACCCAGATAGCATTTTTGCACTCCCCAAACTCAATTACTTAACTTCATGAGGATAACCAATTTACGTCTAAAATCCATAGTCCATACGGGCTGGCCAACTTTTTCTGTAAAAGACTAGATAGTAAAGAGGCTCTAGGACCCACATTCAAACTCTTGTCTTGTTTTATTTACAATTCTTTAAAAATGTAAAAGTCATTTTTTGCTAGAAGGAAGGCCAGTACAAAAACAGACCAAGGGTCATGATTTGCCAGCCCCTGATAGAGATGGAATTTCATAGAGTTCTATCTAAATAATAGAGTCATAGTCAGGAAAGAAGTCAGAAATTTTCCCTTCTGGAGCGATTTCAGAAGTCTGACCCGGGAGCAGGGAAGCGGATGGCCCTCATCAGGGGCTCTGTACAGGGAAGGGCTTCCTTAGGGGACGGTCTCTTTGCAGCCTTCCTTTTGAACCCCTGAAGTCCTCAGGGACACAATGCAGTATTCAGTGAACATTTCTAACAGTATGACAACTGTCACACATTTGCAGTTTTGTCACACTTTGACCCCAGGTCTCTAATGCTCAGTGGAGAGTTCATGTCATTTGAGCATTAAGCTCTCAAACTTCAACTATACACACTTGGCAAAAGCAACAGAGGAAGAGAGATGATTACAGCAAAAACGCATCCACTAGAATTCTAGTTGGCATATGCACTCTCTTTTATACTTGCTATTACTGTAAGCTATGCATTTATGCATAAGTATTACTGTTTACACGGGGGTGCATATGCGAAGCCATGTGCATGCGAGAAGCCATGTGCATTGCACTTCGCAGGCAAAGTAAAAGAGCTCCCAAGGTGATTTGGAGGCCAGTCAATTTCCATCTACAATGCTGTCTGCAGGTGCCATTCTTTTCTTTCTCCTGTAGTCATAGTTTTTATTTTTAGTACAGGTCCACCATTCAGTGTCTCCACCTGGTTTTGATGGCTCCGCCTAAGAACACTGAAACCTACACCCTCCACTGACCATGGCTTCCTATCCTCTCGTGTCCTCACTCTGACTGGGCACGGCTTCTTATTTTAGGAAGGACAGGGAGGCCCTTGATGCTCACACTTTCCAAGACCACCCACCCAGTGAGACCGAGCGGTTGTCCTCTGTACTGCCCTTCCCCCACACTCCAGGTTTTCTGGCACCAATTCCATTCCAACACTACCCCCAACCTCTTGTTTTTCTCTCCCATTAAAATCCCATCTCTAGACACAGGGCAGTGGGGAACAACAAGAGCTAAGAAATGAGACTTCTGCGTTCAAAACGTTCTTATCTGTATAACTGTCGCCAAGTTAGGTAACCCTCTGTGCCTCAGCTACTTCCACCGTACAATGGGTATAATAGTCCTCATAGGCTGCAGGTAAGTTTGGAACCAAGCTGGTAAGAAGAAAACCAGGCTCCAGCCCCAGAAGATGACCTTTAGTTTGACAAGGACTATGAATTTACTCCAGGCTCATAAAAAAGTCAGGAAATTTTTAGTGAACAAAAGCATGATGTCCCTCCGCAGTTGCAACCAACATCGAGAGCCGATCCAACTCAGACAAAGAGATGAGAGTTTGTGGAACAAAAGGAAGAACAGTTGTCAGCTGGGGTTCTGTATTTGTAAATGTGGCTGCATTAGCAGTGATTAAGGAGGCAGAATGCCTTCGCCAGCTGCATCCCAGAAATTCTCTCTGGTCCTAGAGAGTGGCACAGATTTAAGCTTTTTAAAAAATATTTTATTGAATTTATTGGGGTGACATTGGTTAACAAAATTATATAGATTTCAAGTGTACTTCACTTGCCAAAGACAGGTGTTTAAAACCTGCACGGATCCACTGCTGGGAACCCGCCCCCCTTCCTGAGACCCTCCAGGCTGTTGCCTGCCATTTAGGCCCTGCCATCAGCCAGCTGCACACCTGGAACAGTGCAAGCCCCCTCCTGGCCAGACTGGCCTCTGGAGACAAGCCCCAGAAAACGCACCTGCTGATCTCAGTCTGCAGCAGCCCAATACACTCAGACCAAACCTAGCCAGGCCCTGACCAAAAGGGAGAGAGGAAACCTCCCTCCGTTGTTACCACCCTTCAGTGCATGCGGCTGCTGGGTCATGTTTTTGTGTCTCATTGCTCTGTGGGACTTAGACAAACTAACTCATCCTGGGTGGTGTCCTGCCTACCCGGACAGGTACACATGTCCATGTCCTGAATCGGCCAGTTCTCTCCATTTCACCACCATGCTGTTTGCTGTCCAAGCCCTTTACGTATTTAAAGAGACCTCTGCTATAATCTGCGCCTCCACGTTGTCTAACGATACTATTTCCTAATCATGGCCTGGACTTAAACCCTGTCTCTCCACTCTGTTACAGCCCTAACATTCGTTAATGTGTTTACAAAAGCCCAATGGATAGCGGCATTGCACACCTGAGAGAATCCATCCCGCAACTCAACATCTTCATTTAGGTAAAAATCAAATCCTCTACATGCAAATGTCTTTAGAACAAGAGCCTTGCCTTCAGATGAGTCTACTCAATCCAAAGTCAGGCATTACCCCCTATAGATTTTATTCATGGAGATGTAGTGGAGAAGCGGAGGCCCACAAGAAACTTTGGGGCTAATGTTAGGTAAACAAAAATTGGTATCAAAGATGCACTTCCTCAGATTAAGAACGCATTAGGGACATAAATTAGATCATATTCTGGCTAGTCTGTTAACACCAGGAGAGGGATAAGCCCAGAATCACTGGAGAAGCAGGTGCTAGAATACAAGGGAAGCGGTAGGAGCCTGTCTGGGGTCATCTCTGGTGGGGTGCTAAACCGATTATGGTTCACCTGTGAGATGAGCTCTGGCTTAGATTTAATAAAGAGAAAAGATCTGGTGAGACACGTAAGTATGAGAAGTCTTCGTAGAAAGGAAGGTATGGAATCAGCTAGCAGAGATGTCAATTTCTCTTTGAAGAAAGAAAGGCAGTGAGGAGGGGGCGGGGGCGACGGGAGGGCGGGGGAAGGGTGCTGGCAGGAAATGTGGTGACCGGTGCTGCATAATAACCAACATCCGTATACAAATGTAATTTTTAGGAGACTTTATCCACAGGATCCTGTTGAAATTCACACATGAAAAAATTTGTGGAATAGGCAACAGGTATACAGTTTTTATTATCGTTTTAGAGAGGGGAAAGAGGGACTAGAGGAGGTTAACTTACTTAAGGGGTTAAGTAGGGACCTGACTATCTAGTCCTCTGGCTCCAAAACCCATGCTCTTTCAGCTACATCATTGGTGGGTCCCAAACAACATTCTGAAAGTCGCTAAAATTAGAGTGCATTCCATGTGATTCTGTTTACATAAAGTTCAAGAAAACATAAAATGGGTGTTGTGATGATAGACATCAGAACAGCGCCTTCTACAGGTGATTGAGGTGACTGGGAAGGGACATGGGGGAACTTCCTGTTCTATGTCTTGATCAGGGTACAAGTTACAGGCATGTGTACCATTTTCAAAACTCATCCAATTGTAAATTTTGGAGCTGTGCATTTCATGTAGCTACACTTCACTTCAACAAAACAACAATCAGTACCGCAATTACAGAACCTATAAAATAAGTTACAAATTTGAAATCTCGATTTGAAGTTTATGTCCATCCACCTGTAAGTATTAAGGTTCCAGTTCGTGTCCAGTACTACTTCACAGAAGGCTCTTGAGCCCAGCATCCCAGCAGCACCCCATGACAAAGCCCAGGTTCAAAACATAAAAATTTAACACTGCAGTTATGATTCATACTTGAATTCTGCCAACAGCACAAATCAAGTATATTAAAACTAGTTCAGGGAAGCAGACCCAGTGAGGAACATTACCTGGCATGCTTGGGAGTAAATAGAAGCACTGTTTGCACTTGGTACAAGCTGCTTTTGTTGGGGTGGGGGTAGGGGAGATGAGGGGAGAAAAGCTGCAGCTTTTGCCACAATTCCATCCACATCCTTCCCATTACCTGGGCCTGAATTCTTACCTAGTGAAAGTGGGTTGGAGCTGAGTAGCGGCTACCAAACGCTCCTTCTTTTTCTGGTCTGAGGCTGCCGCAGGGCCCATCACCGCCCACTGACCACTGACTCCCTCACCTACTAATGTTTCCTGCTTAGCCCAGTGTTTTGTTTTGTTTTGTTTTTAAGTTTGAGGTTCAAACTGATTAAATTCAAAACAAAACACTGGAAGTTTTAGCTGCAAACTGAATAGCATTAATAATTCTCTGAATACAAACCAACTGGATACAGGCTGTACTTACTCGCAGAGAAGGATTCCGTTTTCTAAGCCTGTCCGAAAATCTTTATCACCAAAGCTCCTGCCGGTTACTTGCTGGAAAAGAAAAAAAAGAGAGCATAAATTTTTCGTTTTTTAATCAGGAAGCACAGTGATTATATATTTATATATATTTAAGAGCCTTGAAATAACTGGTAACATTTTAAGAATGGTAAAAATCAGCTCTGAATTCCATGTATAGTTTTGCTTAGATCAGCTAATGTTAAATTTAGACCATTTCTTTGAAGGTTTTTTCCCTGCCTATTAGCTTTAAAAATATCTGTTCTTCCTGATAAAGATGTTCCTTTATCTTCCTGATAAAGATGTTCCTGATACAGATCAGTCCAGGCCACCCACTCTTTCATCCATATACTTTCAAAAAAGCCTGCAGGAAGTACCACCTAAGGACAAAGTCTCTATTTGTTAAAATGTTAAGGGGGCAGCAGAGGAAGGAAGACAGGCCCCTAACCTCAAGAGACTAAGATTAAGACAGAAAGATTAAAGCTATTATCCCCAGTAACAAGATGTGAAAGAGGGAAATAAATCCTGGGAAAGAATGCACTTGGACAGCACAGGACGAAGGGCCAGTCTGGATACCTCTCAGCAGCCCTTTGGCCTAGGCTCTAGGGCATTCATGTGTTCATTCAATAAATATTTTTTGATCATCTACAACATGCCATGTAAATATGCATACTATTAACTCTAAAGCCCCCTCTTAAGTAGCAAAATAAAAAATGTTACAGTTAATAAACCAAGAAATGAGATTAAATCAGAAAACAGTCTAACAATTAAAAAAGACAAAAAGAAAAAATAGAGAAAGGAATACAGAACAGATGGAATAAATAGAAAGGAAATAGTAATACTGTAGACTTAAACCTAACAATATCAGTAAGTGTATTAAATATAAATGGGCCAAACATCCCCAACTAAAAGACAGAGATTGTCAGATTGGATTTTTAAAAAAAGCAAGATCCAACAATGTGATGCTATTGAGAAATGCACTTTAGATATAAAGATAGAAGGTTAAAATAGAAGAATAAAATAAGACATACCATGCCAACACTAGTCAAAAAATGTTGAGTAGTCACAGTAATGTCAGACGAAGGAAATTTTAGAACAAAGAATAATTCAGAGACAGAGAAAGTCATTTCATAATGACAAATAGTTTAGCTCACCAGGAAAACAGAGCAATCTTAACATTTTTGCACCTAATTTAAAAAAAAAACTTCAAAATACATAAGCCAAAATAGATGGACTTGTAAGGGGAAATAGACAAATTCACAACTACAGTCAAAGATTTAATCCAACTCTTTGAAAACACAGAATAAGCAAACAGAAAATCAAAATCTTCAAAATACATAAGCCAAAATAGATGGACTTGCAAGGAGAAATAGACAAACTCACAACTAGAGTCAAAGATTTAATATCTCTCTTTGAAATCAGATAAAATAAGCAGACAGAAAATCAATAAGGATAAAGAAGAGTTGACTCAGACTATCAACCAAGTTGACTTAATTGACATTTCTAGAACACTCCAACTTATAACAGCAGAATACACATTTTTCTTCCTCAGTTCACAGTGAACATTTATTGAAATATATTAATTTCTGGGTTAGAAGACAAGTCTCCACAAACTTAAAAGATCTCAGTTTATAAAAAAAAATTGTTACCTGACCGACAACAATGAAATTAAATCAGAAGCTAACAACAGAAATATCTCTGGAATAATCCACAAATACTTTTAAACTAAGTAGCACAATTCTACACAACCCATTGATTAGAAAAGGAATCAAAAGAAATTAGAATGTATTCTGTAGTGAAAGAATATGGCAATATAAAAATGTATAGAAAGACACTAAAATAGTATCTGGGGAAACTGTATAACACCAAACATTTATATCAGAAAACAAGATCTCAAATCAGTGAATTTTGCTCCCATCTTAAGCAAATTAAGCCTAAATTAAACAGAAAAAGCAAAAAATTACTTTATATCAGAGCTGAACAATCACACAGAAAAATCAATGGTATCAAAAGCAGTTTCTTTGAGAATAAGAAAATAATAACTCTTCAGACAGGTTGATAAACCATTAACTAATCAAATTGATAACCTTTGGTTTTTAGCCAAAAAAAAGAAAGAGAAAAATTATCAATATCAGGAATGACAGAGGTGACATCATTTCATATTCCTTAGGCATTAAAAGGTTAACAAAGAAATAGTATAAGTAAATTTGTGGCAATAAATTTGTTAGGTGGCAGCTAGGAACGAGTGGCCAGAGGGGGAATAAAGGCAGGGCCGTCACCATTACAATGTAACAAAGAACTTAATACAGGAGGCTGGGAACAAAAGGGGGACACGCCTCTCCCATGAACTCAGCAGCCCTGAGCTCGGTTTGATAAGATCGCTGGGTGTCCCACACATTAGAAGCAAAGTAGCACAGGAGGAAGGGGTCAGTCCTGGAGATTCTATGCTGGGAAAGGGAGCTTCTGTAATAATTTCACTAACTGGGATGAAGAGCCTTTACTAACTGAGAAAGAGAGCCTTTCTAGCTGTACATTATTCCCAAGATGTAAAAGGGGGAGGGAGGGAAATTAGAAGCTAGCTAAAGTATATAATCCCTGAATCTCAATAGCTAGGGTCCTTAGGTTAGTTATGTACCCACTTGTAGCCTCGGTTCAAGTGTAGAGAACAAACTTACTAACAACTTTTTTCCCTCTATATGTGAGGCTTTTAGACTTGCTGGGTGCCTGCTTGCAGCTCCGTGCTCATATGTGTTTCATGAATAAACTTGCTACTTCATTTCCACTATACATGTTTGTCTCTTGCTTGCATCATTCTTATGCGAGTGAGACAAGAACCGAGGCAGGGGAAGGAGCCTCTTGACTGAGGTCTCTCCCTCCCCATCTGTAACAAATTCACCAACTTAGATGAATGGGATAGATTCTTTGATACGAACAATCAAAGTTCACGCAACCAAGAAACAGATAATCTCCACCCCAACCCCTCCATAAATGCCAGGTCCAGAAGGTTTGCCTGGTAAATTATAGCAAATATTTAATGAAGAAATAATGCAACTCTACACAAACTCTTCCAGATAACTGATGAGGAAAGAATACTCACCAACTCATTCTATTGCCTAATAATTTAGGGCAACATTGCCCTGCTTCCAAAACCAAAGACATTACCAGACACACACACACACACACACACACACACACACACACACGAAATATGTCAATATGGTATCTCTTCATGATGGAAATCAGATGTGATTTTAATTTTCTTCTTTAAAATTTTCCCTATTTTCACCCTGGCTGGTGTGGTTCAGTGAATTGAGCGCTGGCCTGCAAACCAAAAGGTTGCCTGTTGGATTCCCTGTCAGGGCACAGGCCTGGGTGGTGGGCCAGGTCCCCCACCTAGGGGCATGCAAAAAGCAACCAGTACACATCAGTGTTTCTCTCCCTCTCTTTCTCCTTCCCTTCCCTTCTCTCTGAAAAATAAATAAATAAAATCTTTTTTAAAAAAATAATAAAAATGTTCTTATTTTTCTAAAACTTTCTACAATTAATACATGTTACTTTAATGAAACAGTTTTTTGTTTGTTAGTCTGCCTGTGTTCTAAAGAGCAGTCTAAGGAAACTAAGTGGTCCCAACTCTTCCTTGCAAACCAGAGTTCTAGGTCTATTATAAAACATCCTCATTACCTCTCCTTCCTCCCACTAGAAAGGCAAATCACAAGCCAATATAACGTATTACCTGAAAAAGGAAGGAAGAGAGGGAGGGACGGAGGGAATCACTTTATTAATTTCCTCTTTTTCTTACTTGAGAGAAGGTGAGAAAAAAATGAATAAAAAATAGTTCTTTACTGTTTACAAACATCTAGCTTTTTCCCAAAGTAAACACATTAAGAAAGATACCCTTTAAAAAGCTAAGATTTTAAATGTAGACTTTAAACACCTTAACATTTTCTTTCCTGGATCTATTAGTCCTGTTGATAGTCTCAAAACATCACTATTTTCTATAAAACTAACCTCATTCACCAAGAAATGATTAGAAAGTTTTGAAAACATTTCCCCCTCCCAGGTCTTTACATTTTTGTTAAAAATATTATGTTCTAGAGTAAATGGTGCTAACACTGAGAACCCAAAACAGTTCAGTTACATTTTTTACAGAATCTCTAAGCTAACACAGGCCCATCTCCATTTACTAAGCAATGATGACGAAAAGGCCTAGAGATAGAGACTCACATGAGACATAGTTACTGGAGGCAGAAAGCTCATAGACTGGTGAAGAAAGCAGATGCCTAAACCCTTATGATAAATAGAAAGTAACATGACTACTAAGAGTATAATAAAATATTGGTGGCCCACAGACCACCTAAAAGCTCTACGCACTATTTAAAATGTTCTTGCCTATGATGCATAGGCAGTAAAACATGTCGAGTTGATTAATAATCCAATGTCAGTGTGCTCATCAAAATCCTCCAAGACGTAGTTTGATTAAATTCCATTTCCTAGACTCCCAATTCTGGAGACAGAAATAGGCACCATGCATCTGCAGGAAGGTGCTCACTTCTGCCTCTGTTCCCCATCCTTTCCTTCCTTCTCCCTCTCCTGTGTCCACTTGGTCCCAGCATAGCCTTCACATTGCTCCCACTGATCAAACGCCATCCATTCTTCCAAGCCCAAGTTACTGAGTATAATAGGGGCACCTTCGTTAGGAAAGTCAACAGGTAAATACACCCGAGAAATTCAACAAGGACAATGCCACTAAAATTACTGTCTTTAGATCAGCAACAGCAGCATCTTCACTAAAATTAATGTTAAAAAACAAACTCTAATTCCTCTCACCCTCTTCCAAGACTTACTTAATCAGAAACAGCACTTTAAAAAGATTCCCATGTGACTCACAGGCACAGTAAATTTTACAAAGCCCTGACCTAGCACACTAAACTAAGCCAGCATTTGCGAATCAGAAAGGGAGGACCTTCCTTTGGAATTGGGATTTTGGATGACCCGACTCAACAACCCCTCTCAGCAACATCTTTATGATGTGTTTA